TCAAACCTCCTGGGGGCCTCCCCGGAAAAAGGTTAGATAGTTTAGATAGTTTAGATAGTTCAGGGGCTTCCTGAACTATCTAAACTATCTAAACTATCTAACCTCTTTCCGGGGAGGCCCCCAGGAGGTTTGAAACTTTCTAAACTATCTAAACTATCTAACCTCTGTTTCTCCCAAAATCGAGGTTAGATAGTTTAGATAGTTTAGGGGCTCGTCTAAACTATCTAAACTATCTAAACTATCTAAACTATCTAACCTCCTTTTCTCCCAAAATCGAGGTTCGATAGTTTAGATAGTTTAGGGGCTCGTCTAAACTATTTAAACTATCTAAACTATCTAAACTATCTAACCTCGTTTTCTCCCAAAATCGAGGTTAGATAGTTTAGATAGTTTAGATAGTTTAGATAGTTTAGAAAGTTTCAAACCTACTGGGGGCCTCCCCGGAAAGAGGTTAGATAGTTTAGATAGTTTAGATAGTTCAGGGGCTTCCTGAACTATCTAAACTATCTAAACTATCTAAACTATCTAAACTATTTAAACTATTTAACCTCCTTCTCCAAGAAAGGAAAGTAATCACATAGTACCTAAAGGTCCCTCTTACATATATATATATGGTCACCCCCCCCCCCCCCCCCATGATCCATATGTATCCTTTCTTGCTTGTCCTTCTGCACCTGTGCTTATTTGCACATATGGTTGATGTGAAAAACACCGGTATTTACGATACTTTCGTGTCTTGCCATGTCTGAAGCTACAACTTGCTATTGATTCTCTACACTTTTAAACAACAGAAATCTACAAACAGAATCCGTTTCTGGATTTGGTTTTGTGTGGTTTGCTAATCTCTGTTATTCACTCTATAGTAGCTTCCAATATACACCTTCTTGAACTTCAACAATATTCATTGATTAGATAAATATTACCTTATAAACCATTGTATAATGCATGAACATAAAAGAAGAGATGAAGGGGTTTCAAATAAAGCACCTAACACAAGAAGCAGACTACATAATGAAGTTAGAGACGAATTCGCAAAGACAGAGACATTCTTAACGGACACGCAAGGACTTAAATTAGCGTATGAGAATCCTGACGGGATATATCAAAAATGGTTCTATTTTATACATTGCTGGGACTAAAAGCTGTAGAGATGTTTATGGTGATTGAAACCTTCCTTTATATAAGACGCAACTGACGCAGTGTTATAAAGATGTAGATAAGTTCATTCAAGATGGTTTTATTGAAATAGACGGTTAAAGAAAAGAAGAAACTGGAATTTCTGGTATTGTAAGTCACAGTTTAGGCTCAGCATCGGGACAACAAATAAACAATGATTATGGGAATGTATTCAGAAGTCGTAGCTATGGTTCTCCTTATGTATCAGGACAACGACCAGAAGACACTGGGACAAAACATATGAATACGGAAAGTAGAAGACCCCGTTAGTATGTTTGAAAAAGGAAGTATAACATCAAAGAAATCAACATTAGACCCTCTACAAAAACATCCTTATGAAGATATAGGCAATATTAAAAACAAAGCAGGACATCTACCTATAACCGAAGAAGAGTTTTTAACAACAGTTTGATGCCATAATCATTTCATAAGAAAGCAACAACATACGAACAAATAGAGACATCGAAGATAGAGATCCAATTTAAACAACGTGCTTACGAAGAGATAAGAAAGTTAGTTGAGAATAATTAAGTAGATGAAGCAGTTAAGCAGGTGAAAGGTAGGAAGAAGAATAATAGTAAGACACTTCATATAGTTTTGAATTACTTGATTGAACACAAGTTGAAGGTATGTATATGTAATCAAATTATCTATGCTATTTATATATCATGGAAACTTTTAGTCCCGCAGAAATCCTCATTGATAGTTTAAGTTTTCTTTGACACAAAAGTAGTTCTTATGTTAATTGTCAAGGGTTTAAGGCCAAAACGAGTGTTGGATTTAAACCATTGCGTGGCCTCTTCTCACAAGTTAGATATTTGCCGTCAAAAAATATGGGAAACTTACCAATTGAAATAGAATTGGTAACTAATGCTACTAATTGTATCAATTACCGCAGTCAGAATATCAAGAGATTTCGGGAAAACCCGAGCCGGCTCGAAGTTTCCGAAAAATCTCCAGGCACCAGGTCACCACAACTCGAGCAGGCTCGAATTTTCCAAAAAAAACCTACATTCTGTCATCTATGAGACCTTGGGGTCACACAGCCATGGTTTCAGCATATTTTTAAGAAAATTCGAGCCGGCTCGAATTTTCCGAAAATTCTTGAAGCTCCAGGTCTCGAAAACTCGAGCAGGCTCGAGTTTTCCAAAAAAAACCTAAATTATGTCATCTATGAGGCCTTGGGGTCACACAGCTATGGTTTCAGCATTTTTTTTAGAAAACTCGAGCCGGCTCGAATTTTCCGAAAATTCTTGAAGCTCCAGGTCTCGAAAACTCGAGCAGGCTCGAATTCTCAAAAAAAAACCTAAATTATGTCATCTATGAGGCCGTGGGGTCACACAGCTATGGTTTCAGCATTTTTTTTAGAAAACTCGAGCCGGCTCGAATTTTCCGAAAATTCTTGAAGCTCCAGGTCTCGAAAACTCGAGCAGGCTCGAATTTTCCAAAAAAACCTAACTTTCAGGATCTACCGGGCTGCTGGAGCCATAGATCCTGAAATTTAGGTTTTTTTTGGAAAATTCTGGTCGTGTTTCGGCAATCTACTGTGTCAGTTTTTTTTAGAAAACTCGAGCCGGCTCGAATTTTCCGAAAATTCTTGAAGCTCCAGGTCTCGAAAACTCGAGCAGGCTCGAATTTTCCAAAAAAACCTAACTTTCAAGATCTACCGGGCTGCTGGAGCCATAGATCCTGAAATTTAGGTTTTTTTTGGAAAATTCGAGCCTGGTCGTGTTTCGGCAATCTACTGTGTCAGTTTTATGTGGAAAATTCGAGCCGGCTCGAATTTTCCTAAAATTCTTGAAGCTTTAGGTCCCAGAAACTCGAGCAGGCTCGAATTATCCAAAAAACCTAACTTTCAGGATCTACCGGGCTGCTGGAGCCATAGATCCTGAAATTTAGGTTTTTTGGAAAATTCGAGCCTGGTCGTGTTTCGGCAATCTACTGTGTCATTTTTTTTTTAAATTCGAGCCGGCTCGAATTTTCCTAAAATTCTTGAAGCTTTAGGTCCCAGAAACTCGAGCAGGCTCGAATTTTCCAAAAAAAACCTAACTTTCAGGATCTACCGGGCTGCTGGAGCCATAGATCCTGAAATTTAGGTTTTTTTTGGAAAATTCGAGCCTGGTCGTGTTTCGGCAATCTACTGCGTCAGTTTTTTTTGGAAAATTCGAGCCGGCTCGAATTTTCCATAAATTCTTGAAGCTTTAGGTCCCAGAAACTCGAGCAGGCTCGAATTTTCAAAAAAAACTTAACTTTCAGGATCTACCGGGCTGCTGGAGCCATGGATCCTGAAATTTAGGTTTTTTTTGGAAAATTCGAGCCTGCTCGTGTTTGGGCGACCTACTGTGTCAGTTTTTTGTGGAAAATCCGAGCCGGCTCGGGTTTTCTAAAAAAGCATGATTTTTTCGGGTATTTTTCTACCTTGTTGGTGTAAATGACCTGCCTGACTTGAAATGATATAGGTTTTTATGGGCCCTGTCGGTGTTTTTGTCGCTAGCTCATAGCCCCCTCTCCTCCCAAGATCCATCTGTTTCGAAGCAGAAACGTGGATCATGGGGGGGGGGCGTGAGCATATATATATATATATATACAAAAAATGAACTGACCGCCCCCGGGTGCAGGAAGCCAAGTGGGGACTCCTTCTCTGACTGCTCGCACAAAGGATCGGCCACGGCCCGGATGCTCAGCAACTCAAAACTTCCCAATCCCTAAACCCCAAACCCTAAACCCCAAACGCCAAACCCCATACCCCAAACCCTAAATCCCGGGCTGGTTGCACTCGCGTGAAGCCTGCTGAGTGCTTGCAGAAACCCTAAACGCCGACCTGCCATCATGGGCACATGCGGGATGGGTTTGACCATTCCTCCGGCTCCTGAAGTACGTTCAATTCCAAAAAAGAAACTGTCCTTTCGGGTCTAGGGTTTAAATACCTGTACTGTGCTTAATTAGCATCCTGTATACCGAGATCACAGATCTTAGTACTCTAAGAGGGTGTCAAGCATCTGAAGCAGCTGTATACCATAGCGAGGGCACGCTGAGCTCTCTCTCTCATATATATATATATATATATTTCTAATATATGTATATATACCATGTGGTTTGTATAAGTTGAGCCAGCTTAGTCTATAGGCCTAGAACAGCATGCCCGCGCACGACCGCCGGAGCTCCAAAACCGACTCCCCAAACTCCTCAGCGCGAACTGGGGCCTCGAGGTTCCTTCCGGGAGGTCCTCGATTGTGGCAGGAGCTCTCTCGTCATTTTTTCTCAGGGCTCTGAAGGACTCGGCGGTTTAGAGGCACATCCTGCTAGAGGCGGTGGGATGCTACAGATAAGTCGCGGTCACTTGTCAGTGGAGACTGGCCAGGAACGTTTTCATGTCCGGAATGCTGAGCATAGTGTTTCTGGCGGAGCTCCAGATGCAGGGTGCTCCTGGTTTTCAGGATGTTTCAGAGCAGTTGTTTAGAGATGGGACTTTGTCGGTTGGCTTGCGAACCCCCAATTGCCAAAAGTTACTGCGTGTGTCAAGTGGAAGGTTCAGGGTGGGTCCTTCATGTCCTTCAAAGGAATGCTGCCCGGGTCAACCCTTCGTTTTGAGGAGGGGCGCGGTAAGTGATGGCATCCAGTTGCTCATGGAATCCCACTCACAGGCTCTCCCTTCAGGCCCCAAACCCGAAACCAGCTCACTTTCCAGCTCGACTGGGATGCCTGTACCAGGAAGTTCTCCTCCTTTGCCCACACGCGTCGTCGAGCCCTCATGGTCACCCATGCCCAGGCAAGTAGTCCGGTGCGGGTCATGTTAAGTCAAGGTCTGTACTCCGATTTCGTGGGGGAACTGCTGATGGGGCCGTGACTTGGGGTGCACTGCAACGGCTTTTGGGGGGGGGGGGGGGGGGGGGCCCCCCCCGACATAAAATCAACACGGCACCTGGCCGTGTTTCGGCGGTGAGCCTGAGGAGTTTAGGGTTGGAAGGCTTGGGGCTTCTGTCCATGGCATCCAGAAAAATCCTCACGCAACATCCCTTGCAAGGCCATCACTAAGGTCATCATAAGGCTGAGCTTAAGATTATCAGAATTAAGGCATAAGGCTGAGCTTAAGATTATCAGAAGGCTAGGATTCGCCAAAAAGTGAGCCAGGCCTTTGCTGCGGGAGGATGGGCGGCCGAACTTCGTAGGGCGCTCGACGAGTGGGAGCTGGTCTCTCCATGCCCCGCTGCACAGGTCATGCAACCATGGGGGGTTTGAACGTATAAGGGGCTACCTTCTTGGGGTCCTTATTAAATGGGAGTCCTACTATTTGGGGATCTATATTGGGGGCCCCTTAATTTTGTAAAGCCCCCATAGACAACAAGCGATTGTTGGAGTCCAAATAAACGCAGTGCATAAGATACCGGCACCTTCGAAAGGCAGGAGGGCGATTGGTTTCAGAAGGGCTGCCGGTTCAAGGGTGCAACGATTCAAGAAGCTCTATATGAAGTAGGGCCTCTATTTCTTGTCTCCCCAAAAGGACGCCCAAGATATACACTCACCAATCTTAAAAGGAACCTTATATACACTCACCAATAACAGTAGTATAAATCCTGCAGCCCTAAACCCTAAACCCTAAACCCTAACCCCTAGACCCTAAACCCTGAGGGCTTAAGTGGACCCACGGTGTACGGATGTGTACTGAGGGCTACCCCACCTCCGTCAGCCCAATGCGCAGAGAAGGCCTCGAAGCAACGGCTGGATCGTCTCAAGTGACTCAACCTTGGGGACGACATGAACCCTAAATTTGGGGGCCCTATACCCTATACTACACTACAATTCCCCATTAAGGTATATGAACCATAAACCCTTTTAGGGTTCATTTCGTCCCCAAGGAAGTGGTGCTTGAGGCTTAATAGGTTGCAAGGGTGCTTGGACTAATTTGAGATGAAGAGATGAAAGCTGAGAAGTTTTGAGGGTTCCTCTTGACAAGTAGACAACAGCTTCGCTTCATGAAGCTCCGTAGGGTGGCTTGTGTTGTGCAGACTTACCTTCGGTCTGTTGCTCATGAGAACGTCCGTGCTGTCCAGGCGTGTCAGTCTCACCGATCATTCGTACACCGTCCGGGACCCAAAAGTGGCTCAAGCTCATACAGGTCTGGGGCCTTCGTGAAGTTACAGAACTTCGTGACGCTTGGGTGGTTCCCTTCCCCCCCCCCCCCCCACCTCCCCCTGCCCTGCCCTCATGGAAACCCTGAAGTAACATTGGGCAAGAAGGGGATTCCGAAGGTAAGGAACCGGGCGCGCAGGACACTGCAGTCTTGTGTTCAGAGTTGAGAAGAAGCTTTGCCACAGACATACTTGCTCCAAGGTGTCATTCCCCGTGCAGAGCCACTGTAATCCAGAGGCCTGTTGAGTTTGGGCATCATTTTGCGGGGTGGGCGCGGCACGGGAAGTATGAAAGCATGACATCTGACCTTGTCACGTTCCCTTGAATCCCTCCTCTTCAAACAGCATGTGAGCCCCATATGCCCACAGTCGTCTTTCGAAACGCCTTGCAAGCTCGCGCTTTTGCGGAGAACTGGTGCCTGAAGTCTTCGAAGCGATGCAGCTTCACACGCAAGGCCAGCTCCACCCTCGCCTCGAGCCATCGAGAAGTTGCTGGCTGTGCGCAAGCACATTTGAAGAGTTCCGGGTCCATGGGGTCGTTTGTTAATGGGCTGCTTGGGCAGGGGAATCCAAAGCTCTCTTTTCAAGCTTCGCCGCTTTTGCAAGAGCACTTGAAGCTGTGGAGTTCAGCTCAGCCTCAGCTCACTGGCGTCTTTCCGCAGCCACTTGTTTCTGTGGCTCAAAGAACTCATTCATGATCGGGAGCAGAAGGACTTGAGCGAAGATCAGCTTCATTACCCAACAGCCTTGATGTAGCACAAAGTATGCGCAGGAGGTCAGACCTGTTCGGGTGATCCTTGGGAGACTGTTCGAATTGGAGCTCTTCACGCCTCCATCGGACCGTTCTCAGACCATCTGCTGCATTGAGGAAGCTCAACTACTTTTTGTGCACAGGGCCTTGCTTGTCTGGTTCTACAATTCTTTAACTTGGAGCAGTTTGTTCAGACTTGCCGACTTGCAGATCCTGTTGTTGAATGCGGGCATGAGTGCGTTGGGGATGCGGGACTTCCCCAAAGTTCAGCCAAGCTCAGCACCCTATGCAGCAGAGGTTTCTCAAAAGCGAAGGGATGCATGGGTGCCTGTCAAGACTTAGGGGTTTAGGGTTTAGGGTTTAGGGTTTAGGGTTTAGGGTTTAGGGTTTAGGGTAGGCCCTAAGAGCACCATGGAAGACGCATTGGGCTGAGGCGATGGGAGGCTTTGAGACGTCTTGGAGCTGTGCGGACCTGGCCCACAACCTCTGCGACATCCTGGCCACTTGTCAGAATTGAGAGCCGCTCTTCAGTGTGGATTCGAGATGCCCTCCCAGAGCTCTCAAAGCAGAATCAAACGATCAGAAAAGAACAAAAGGCTGCTCCAGAAACACCGGAGAGCTGTGCACTGCTTGCAGGTGAAGAAGGGTCAGCTGAAGGACTGTGATGAGTCAGCTCGGGATGCAAGATTGGGACCGTTCCCGGGCCATTGGTGGTCTTTGTGTGCAGTGGCAAGCACCAAGCACGAACATGGCACGCACACGCAAACACTGACAGATAAACTGCGTGGGACTTGCGGTTTCTGGATTTGTGATGTGTGGGGGCGAGTGGTAGATCTACTCCCTGCTGTGGCTTGCAGTACGTAGTTTTCGAGCTTGAGGGCCTGAGGTTTTTGGGTCTTTTTTTGCTGCTGGGGTGGCAGAACATTTCAAGAGAGGGCCAGAGAACCCGAGATCGTCCGCACTGGCCTCGATAACTGGCCTCGATACAGCACCTCATGTACCCCTCCAGGAGAAGCCTGCATTCATCCGAACGGATCGCGAGGCTCAGGGTTTAGGGTTTAGGGTTTAGGGTTTAGGGTTTAGGGTGCTCTGAGGCAGAGTCTGGGAGCTGTCCTGGCCCTTGCGGGCTTGCGGGTGTAGCCTTGTTCGAGCATTGATTTGTTGGTGAAGTTCACTTCGTCTTTTTCGCTCCATTGCGCACGACATGACACTCGTGCACCCTCCGGGAAGCAAGGATGAGCCCATCACATCGCATCACCACGGACGATGATTTTTGTCCCAGCTCCAGCGTATCCAATCATCGGCGATGTCGGAGCACACGGCTGATGCTTTCTGAAGCTCACTTGACTCGGCTCTTAAACGCGATCCCTTGAACCCCAAACCCTAAACCCTAGGGTATAGTGTGTAGCAGCTGGCAGCAAAACTCTACTCTAGGGCGTGCGACACACAGCAAGGGCAGCAGTGTTTCCAGTCAAGGGGTTCCGGGACACATGTCGTATCAAACGGGCGACAGTATATGTGACCTGAAGAACCCGGCCTGCACGCGGTCCCCATCACTCGCGAGGCATGTTTGTTGTTGATGGACTTAGCGTGAGTTGGGGTTGTTGTGTGAGTGGAGTTTTTTTGTGGGAGTGAAGATTGAGGGATGGGCACGCCTCGGGGCCCTTTTTGCTTTCTGGTACACACACGAGAGACCACGATTGTTCCCTGCGGAGTGATCTCAGAGGGGTCAGCTAGGCGGGTGGCAAAAAAAAAACCCTAAACCCTTTGGTTAGCCGGCTGCGCCTCGTGTTTTGTCCCTGCTCGTGAGGCCAAGATCGCCCAGGTCTTTGAGGGCATCGGCCTCGACGGAGAGAAGATGGCCACCTTCGACAACCCTGGGCCTTTGGACCTTCGTCTCCGAGTAGTTTTTGTTTTGGGGTTTAGGGGTTTACGGGTTTAGGAGGGTTTAGGAGGGTTTAGGGGTTTATAGGGTTTATAGGGTTTATAGGGTTTATAGGGTTTATAGGGTTTATGGGGTTTATGGGGTTTATGGGGTTTATGGGGTTTATGGGGTTTATGGGGTTTAGGGTTTCGGTTTGGGGTTTCGGGCCAGGGTTGAGAGTTCGAGGCGCGAGACTGAAACTCCAGGGTTCAAGCAAAGATCATCAAGGCTTACTTGGGCTGTTGAGTGACTCTAGTGGCTCACGTTCCGCACCAGGCAGATTCACTCGGCTTGGTGACGGTGTGTCGCCTTGCAAGACCGGCCCAACCCCGAAGGCACGAGAATCCCATTGCTATATATGGGGAAGCCGCAATTAAGAACTGCACATATAACCCAATTATAACCCTATTGAATGGGGTACTTGTGGGGCTTATATGTGGGATTATAACTACACTTCTAATGGGTTGCCAAGTACCCTGAACCCTAAACCCTAAACCCTAAAGTAGAGTTCTTCACGAAGGAGATGATGGTGCGCAAGAGCACCAATGGCGAGACATGGGTTCAGCATGTCCTGGACGGACTGACGAGCGCCTCGGCGGTCAAGCATGCACCATCAGGGCCATTGGGCTTAGCCTATACATGTATATATAGATAATATATAGGTATATAGATATACAGTTATATAGATATATAGATATATCGATATATAGATATCATGATATATACATATACTCTTAAAAACATTGAGTCTACATACAACATGTCATAATGCAGAATTGCATGTCATTTCAGCCCCGATTTTCCCGAAGGCTCAAGCTCATCCTTATGATAGACCCCCTTGTTCGCAAAAAAACCACCCAAGAAGATCCCGTCCTGAAACTGGACAGGCATGCTGCCAGAGGACCGGCCTCTTTTTTCTTTTTTTTTGGGGGGGGGGGGGGGGGCTTGGGGTTTTGAAACCCTAAACCCGAAACCCTAAACCCTAAAGGGAGAGGTCAGCTAAGCGGGTGGCAAAAAAAAGGTGCATATGCGGCTTCGGAGAGGGCACGCTGTTTCCAATCTCCAGGACGTTGCCAAAGCCACAAAGACCATGACCATGGACGAGGCTTCGAGTGAGCAGGGTTTAGGGTTTTGAGGGTGTTTAGGGTTTTTAGGGTTTGGGGTTTAGGGCTTCTTGAAGTTCGGAGAAACACTGGGGACGTCGGGACATGGATGGCCGGGGCTCCCTTTTCGAATCGCGTCGGGAGCTTGCCGTTTCTTCTCACAACCAGGACATCCCATTCCACATGCTGAATATCAATATTCGACCCGGGCTATGAACCACGTGCCGTCGCTCACCAACTGGTCCAAGCACCAAGCAACCGTATCATTCTGTGGTAGCAGTTCTGGCTTCAAGGACTTCATATGATTCATATGCCTGACATGAAGCTCGTGTGTGTTGGATCCTCAAGCCTTGTCTAGGCGAGCAGAAGCCCCCAGTAGTTCCTGGACTCCACCCAAAAAAGGGTTGCAAACAAGGCACAGGCGCCTCTCGGGGGCGGGGGGGGGGGGGGGGTTAAGGCACTTCTGTTTGCAATGGGCGCTTTTGGGAACATACGCTTCTGCCGGTTTAGACCACAGCAAACGTCTCGCTCTTGCACAATGGCCTGCTTGGGAGGGTTTAGGGTTTAGGGTTTAGGGTTTAGGATGTATAGGGTCCACCAACTGTGCCGTTTAGTCTCTCCCGAGGCCGCAAAAGAGGAGCTGGCTGCTGCAAAGGAGAAGTCAACTCCTCAGGGTTTAGGGTTTAGGGTTTAGGGTTTAGGGTTTAGGGTGTTCTAGCGTTTCGGGTTTGGGACAGCCCTCAAGATGCCAAGGTCAGCCCAGCGACGCGAACGAATGCACGATGCGGACAAGGAAGGTGGCGAGCGCACTTCGCCTGATGTTGAGTTGGGTTTAGGGTTTAGGGTTTGGGGTTTGGGGTTTAGGGTTTAGGGTTTAGGGTACCCCAGATCGCGCGCTTAGAGTGAGTACTGTATCTTACGCAATCAGGTACGGAAAAGCTAGGCCTAGATTATGGCCCCGTGTCAGGTACTCTAAACAATAGGGGCCGCCTTATCGTAAGGAACCGACCAGACTTTAAAGAGAAGTGACCATATGTGTTGTTCTCTGGTCTCATGCTAGTTTCATAGCAGTATACTACAAGCGGACCCTCTATAGTATATAGGGACTTGTCTGAGGTGACCGAGAAGGAGGTGGCGATCGTCCAAAAGGAAAAGGCTCGACCATGCTTGCTACCGTGATAATGTAGTACTACAATGCGATCGTAGTAGAATGCAAGAGTAGTTTGAAGGTTTTCATATAGCACCACAATATCGTATTAATGCAGCCGCACTATCATTAATGCAGCTGTGAAGAATAAGGTAGTGCATGTCACCACCCTCAACACTCCACACATCTCAGCGCAGTTCGGGAGATGCGAATTGGCCCCAACACGCATCGATGCTTCGCTATGCTTGAGGCAAAGGCGATCGCCCAGATCGCGATCGCCCAGATCGCGATCGCCCAGATCGCGATCGCCCCGATCGCGATCGCCCCGATCGCGATCGCCCCGATCGGGAGCGCAATGGCAATGGCAGTGACCGCTTTGGCGGTGAGCGGTTTGGCAGTGGCAGTGACCGCTTTGCTCGAGACAGGGACGAGGACCACAGGGGCGCAGGATTAGAAGACGTGTGAGTTGCACAGAAACATTCAGGGCATGTTGGGCTTGTATCGGGAAGTTACTTGGTACGTGTACGGCAGTGCCATGAAGTGCCGGTGAGCTGAAGACACTTACAGATGTTT